AAGCCAGCACGCATTCACATATGTGGATGTGAGTGGCATGCTCAAAACAATAATAAGACCTTGAGGAGAGGAGCCAGGTGTCATGGTGGGCCATTTAATGGTCTCTTCCAGCTTTAAACTCTACAAGGATTCTATTTAGTAGTGGAGCTGAATGTAGAGTGTAGAAGTATACTTAGATTTGAAATTCTCTAAGCCAGTAAACATGAGCACATTTATTTTTTGCCRTTATAAGTTTATAAATTCCACTGTTTCTTGAAGTAAATTATCAAACTAGTTAATCTGCATAAATATTCAGGAATATAGAAATATAAATCAAGAGTACTTCTATAATACTTTATTTCAATCATCAGCCTTTATAACATTTTTATGAAATTTTCATCCAACCAAGTACAGTTTTTATATCTGCTAGTACTGACTAACAGTGTTCTTGGCATCTAGGATGTTACAGATTTTGTATTTCTTCTCTAATATGCTGACATCTGAAAGAATGTGTCAAAAAGGATCATACACAATGTGAGTCATGAAAATCAACTGGCAGAAGACAACTTTGAAAACTGTCATTGGAGCCTTTGGCTGCCAGCCATAGATTCTAACACCTGACATCAGCTGCTGCACTGTCTAAAATGAAGAGCTTTGATGAGAGCCAACTGCCAGACAACTTGTTATTTGCAGCAGGCTCTTTGTAATTCAGTAGAAGAAACCTGCTTAAGAAGTAATGAGAATGATAATATCAGCTAATGTTTATTATCTGCTTACTATGTGCCTGATGATGTAGGAAGGGCTTTATCCTAAAAGGCAGGTACTGACGTAATGAGAAGTCATACACCCAAGATCACTCTGCCAGAAACGGGAGAGCAAAGGTTTGAATCTGCCTGGAGCCTGTATTCTTAGCTACCTAATTGCTTTATGTGGCAGTGATTTGGGATTAAAAACAAAAGTAAACTAAATAAAAAAACCTGAGAAAATTTTTTTTGTGCTTTTAAAAAGTTCAAAAAGTAAGTTAAGGGATATGTGCTCTATTTTAAACTATTGTTTTGATTACTTGGTTTGTTTACTATTTTTGACTCCATGAAAGTTTTTAAATTAATTTTCTGGTTATTAAATTTTTGTCCTTAATTCAAATGAGAAATAATAAAAAAGGTGGAATATTACAAGTTAAAAGACTCAAGTTCTAGTTTTGGCTTTGCCAAAAATCCTTATAAATTTGTCCAGGCCTCTGTTTCCTCATGTTTATTACCATGTTCCTTTCTTTAACTAAGCTAGTGCAGGGTATGCAAAGTGTCATTCTATGAAGTTAAGAGATGTTGCCTGGTGAGTTGCAGATGGCTGGGGCACATTGCCAAGGGGCTAGTGTCTCCACCCCAGCTTTAATGGCTGTGTGCGCCAGCTCCCCCTGAATGACTTGGCTCTTCACCAGTGTAAGATGTCACAGAGACATGCTTGAGTTGGCCAGGACCCAGTATGATATTTAAAAAAAAGAAAAAAAAAAAAGCTTAAGGATGATCAAGTTCTCTTAAGTAATATTAAACAAAAGCATACTATGTTCCTTCTCATTTCCTCTCAAAGCACTTCTCATGTTTGCAAAGAGCATGACAAGATGAATGTGTCAGCTTTTCATGTTTCCTGATGTGATGTGTGGGTTGGTAGTTCATCACAAAATCACCCACTTTATAGGAATCACATTTCAGAGCCAAGCCTTGTCCTCTGATATCACAGTGATAGTCTTAAGATATTCAAAACAAAAGCAAAGAGTGGGAGGCCTTAATTCATCATATATATATACCAGAACTCCATTGTTTAGGGAAAATAAGATGTAACATTGCAGAAAAATGCTATTTTTAAATGAAGTATAATCATTTTGTTCTTCTTAGTCTGCTGTACAAATTCATGGAGGTCATAACTGATAATAAATTAGCTTATAATTTTCCACCCAAAACAATATTGTTTGTTTTCTTCAAATTACTTTTTCATTTGTATTTCTAAAATTATTTACTTAGAACCTGCCATGTATAAGAAATTGAAGGCCAAATTCTCAATCTCTGTCATCAGATTTACCAGAAATTTTTGGAGGCCTATGAACTTCTGCAATTCCATTTTTAAAGTATCCAAGAATAGTCCCTTTAGTAACAAGTGGAGTTGCATTAAATGCTACATACTTTTAAACAGAGTTGAAAACTGATTTACTTGTTCCTCTAAGAATTTCAGCTCCTGCCTCTACCCTTCTTCTTTCCTTTGCAATGCAACTACGCCTTCAAATACCATTCTTTAAAAGGAGGCTTTATGGCTTTGGAGGAATAAGCTGATTTCACAGCCAGTTTTGCCACTGCTGTGGAAAACAGAGTGCATATGCAAGCCAGCTGAAGTCATACGAACTACAAGGATTAGGACTTTGGGGCCCTTCGCCACTGCTGTCAAATTGCAATTGGAAACAGCTTTCCCAAAGTACAGCATAAGAAATCAGGGATTCTTGTCCATGGCTTGCCAGACTGCTAGGCTTCTAATCAGGCCTGGCATGACCCTTTATAGATCAGAAATGTGAAAATCACAACAAAACCAAACTAGAGTATCTTTTGCTCTTCCTGGGTCCCTTCCAGGACTGTAATTGTTGTCACTCACCAGTTACTAAGGAGCTAGTTTCTGCATGAGAATAGGAGGTCCAGGAAGGCTTGATCCAATGGAATTACAGATTCAGCTCAGGGCCCTCCCTCTAACCCAACTACAGGATATGCAAATCATCTAGCTGTTCAAATTCTTAACCTTATCTCAGTTACTGCAACTTTATTAGACACTTGGACATAAGATAACTTTTTCATAGATCATAGTAAAACTATCTAGATTTTTCATGAGCTACAACCATTCAATGGAAGTTCCTTTTCTTGGCACTCCAACTTGAATGAAAAGAGTCCCCTCTCTAGGAAACACACTTGTATCAGTGGTAATTTAGTTTAAAAAAAAAAAACTTTCAGATTTTTTTAAAAAATTAATCCAGTGGTATCTCAATTTCCTATATCTCTGTCTAGATCCAAGAGTTAAGATGGCAAAAAAAAAAATCAGATTAATTTTTACAACATTCATTTTGCCTGTCAACTCTTCAGTCATCTTTGAGACTCGTATAATAAAATGGAAAAATGAATCAATCAGAGGTTTGAGCCAAAAAATTAAACTTATTTGACTGTTTCCAGCCTACATGTAGCATGCAAGTTATCCATGATGTTTGATACTATTGCTATACATGGATGGTAACACCCAGGATGGGCCAGCTGCAACTTTCAACTTGAAGCATGGCTAACTGACACTTCTTTAGATGTGTGATTTCTAGACAAAGAAGAAGTGGGATCTCATTTTTCCCCTTATTTTAAAAGTGCAACTCAAACTCCATCACTCAGTGGAACTTGCCCTGGTCCCTTGAGTAAATGAATTTCTCTTTTATCTTTTCTTTCACAGAAAGATTCTGGAACCTCTGTTTAGCACAGGATATTCTATACATTATGTTTTGTTGACAGTAGGTGAATATTCCTCCAGTAGATACGGACTACTTCCCTAAAGCCAGTGATTGTGCCTTATTAATTTCTGTAGTCCTTTTCTCACACTGTTCTGGAATTGAAACCCACACCTAATTCAAAACAAAACAAAACAAAACAAAATCTTCTATTGTCTAAAAGGTATTATAAATTTGTTATTACAGTCATGTGCTACATAAGCACCTTTAGTCAATAAGGAACCACATGTATGATGGTGGTCCCATGAGAAAATTTCCATTACCTAGTGACATTATAACCATCGTGACATTATAGCACAATAGAGGCTCACATGTCTGTGGTGATGCTGGTGTAAACAAACCTATTGCACTGCCAGTCACATAAAAGTATAGTACAGACAATTATGGACAGTACATCATACTAGAGAATGATAATAAATGCCTAGGCGATTATTTTTTATATTTACTATTCATTTTATAATTACTTTATAGGGTATTCTTGATACTTACTAAAACAAGTGTATTATAAAACATTGTGCTCTGTTCTGCTGGTAACAGCTTCATCTATCTTGTATTTACCAAACCACTTGGTCACATCATATTCTCATGCTTAATTTATCTTCACGTTGTTTCACTCATCACAACCTACACCACAGCTACAACACACACACACACACACACACACACACACGCACACACTATATCCTACGTGTGCAGTAGGCTATACCAACTAAATGTGTGTGAGTACACTTCATACTTTATATTTACATGACAACCAAATAACCTAACAACACATCTTTAGAACATGTCCTGTTGAAAGTGATGCATAGCTGCATTTAGAAAAAGATGTCTTTACAAACATAGTAMAACTAAATGATGAAAAATATTTCAGAAAGTAGAGGCAAGTTCAGGGAGAGACCATTACATGCAAATTGGATGCTCAGCACAGGGAAGCACTCTGAAATATTACTTAGCTATCATAAAACTGGTCACTCACTACAGCAAATTTTGATTTATTAGGCGATTCTTTAAAAAGTAGTAATCAATTTTTTAATTAAAAAAAATTCAAAATAACATTCCCAAATAAAATCAATTTTATTCATCTATTTATTTATTTGTTTATTTATTTACTTATTGAGGGTGAGGGTTGCCAGAGTTTGAATTCAAGGCTTTGCACATGCTAAGCAAGCATTCTACCACTGAGCTATGCCCCAGCCTCTAAAATCAGTTTCTTAAAAGTACCTCAGAGTCCTACTCATGAAAAATCTAACTACATCATAGAGAACATTTTTACCAATAATAACCAAAGAGTAGCTTAGTTGTAGAGTCTTTGTGTAGTATGGATGAGGCTCTGGGTTCAATGCCCATCACTATAAAACACAACAACATTAATTATAATCAAATAAAAAAAGAATTCTGATTAACCAATGAATTACCTTGTGCATTCCATCATCTGGGCCCCACCTCTAATCTGGCAATGAAGTCAACTTGTTGGAAACAATAATATTTGAACAGCCCTTACCTTCAAGAATATACATCTTTTGAGCATCTTCACAATGAAATAACCCCAGTAAAGGTGAAGGACCTGTAGGATCATGAGTTGTAAGTTGAGGAAGATATATGAAAAGAAAGGTTCAAGGTAATGCAGAGGCAGAATCAGGGTGCAATATAAAATCCTGAAAAACAAACAGATGGGAGAAATGAATTACAGCCAATGCACTTGTGAATTTTTCAACAAAACCCAAATATTTTCTCTCCTCAAACACACATTTACTTCATTTCTAATGATGTCGGTAAAATTCTCAAGAGGAAAAAAATGAGAATATTACCATTTATCACTATTGGCAAGCAACCAAACAGTGCAATCTATTTCCTGAGAGAAAAGTTATAGCAAATGATACATTTATTGCCCACTGCTTTTCACTAGAGTTTCTGTGCTTCAGTTTCTTCTTCCCTTTTTCAGTTGTAGATGGACACAATATCTATCTATCTGTCCATCTATCTATCTATGCATTTATTTATTTATTTAATGTGGTGCTGAGGATCAAAACCAGTGCCTCACATGTGCAAGACAAGTGCTCAACCACTGAGCTACAGCCCAAGCCCCTCATTTTCTTCTTTGTAAACAGAAAAGCCTACACTAATCCTACTCACCTTCCAGGGGTAGGGGAAGGGATATGAGGGACAAATGAGGTAACACATTCACATGAAGCTATTATCACATTATGACAAAGTCTCACTTATTTGGCATCAGGTGAATAAAACAGTAGAGCACTTGCCTAGCATGTGAAAGGTTGGGGTTCAATCCCCAGCACCACACACACACACACACACACACACACAAACATACAGGTGAATGGAAAATTTCATAGAAGTAAAACTTCCAAATAGCTGGGTGCAGCGGCGCATGCCTACAATCCCAGAGGCTTGGGAGGCTGAGAAAGGAGGATCTGGAGTTCAAAGCCAGCCTCAGCAATGATGAGGTGCTAAGCAATCAGGGAGACTCTATCTCTAAATAAAATACAAAATAGGGCTGAGGATGTGGCTCAATGGTTGAGTGTTCCTGAGTTCAATCCCCAGTATCCCCTCCAAAAAAACCAAACTTCCAAATAAAAGAGGCATTAACAAGGCAAAAATTCTATGATTACTTCCATTTTCACATTCTGAAGTGAATTGCATACTTAATCAATATCATAAACAGATCCCTGGACACAATTTGAACTGTCCTTGATAACCCAAGATGCACAGTGTCTTCAGATGTTATTGCAATATGAAGGGTCCCTTTCCCAACTTTCAAACACTAATATGATCTTAGAGTTCTTGGATATGTGCATTATAATCTTACTACTTAGTTATAAAAATAATGTGCTCACTTAAATTGGTAAAATAAAAAATAAAGAAAAATGCCCATAATAGGGGCTGGGTTATGACTCAGTGGTAGAGCACTTGCTTGCCTCACACATGCAAGGCCCTGGGTTTGAACCTCAGCACCACATAAAAATAAATAAATAAAGTAATGAAAAAAATTCCCACAATACCATCTTCATAAGCAAATAACACTGTAATTTTAGTGTACTGTCTTCCAATTTTTCCTACCTGGATTTATTTTCATTTATTTTTTAAATTATCATACAGTCAAATTTCCTGAGTTTTGGTGTACAGTGCAATAAGTTATAATACATGTAGATGTTTGGTAACTAGATCACAGTGGATGACAGCACATCATATCAAAGAACTCCCCAACGCCATCCCTTCACACCATCCCCACCCTTAACATTTGTGACCACGTATCTGCTCTCCAACCTTTGCTTTTGTCTTTTCGTGGAATCATACAATATGAATTTTGAAGACTGCCTCCTTTCCTAAGCATGGTACCCTTGAGTTCAGCCAAGTTGCTGTGGATTTTAATAGCACCTGGTAACCCACTATATGGATACACGCAGTATATCTGTTCACCTTTTGAGGAACAATAGGGATGTTTCTAGTTTTTAACAATTATGAATAGAACTGCTCTAAATACTCACACTTGTGTGTTTGTGTTAACGTAAGTTATCATTTCTTAAGAGTAGGTATATAGGGTGGAACTGTTCTGTAGCATGTGGTAAGTGTATATTTAACTTTGTAAAAGACTAAAAGCTGTTTTCCTGGGTGGCTGCTTTTCATTCCTACCAGCAATTCATGACAATGTCAGTTGTCCTGTATCTTCATAGGTACCTGATTTTGTCCTATAGAGATTTTTTGCCTCTGCAAAAATATACCACTTGTGAGATTTTTATGTTCGATTCCACTTAGTTTTATATTTAAGATATTTGACACTGCTTAGACAACCTGGGGGATATGGTCTTTCCCAAATGGAAGATGATTTCCTTAGAAATGTATGTTCCTAAAAGTGAGATTGCTGTTTCAAGGTGTTTAATCATTAAAGTTGCAAAAATCCCAGGGTATAATTAAAAAGTATTTAAACATTGCCAAATTATTTGCCAAAATATAACAATCCCAAAGGTCACCAAAAGTTTATGAATCATTTCATTGAATTCTCCCAACCAGTGTTGGTGAGTATGAGTGACTTTAAAATCTGGATAGGCAGAACTAACATCATCAAAATGGCGATATTACCAAAAGTTCTCTATAGGTTTAATGCAATGCCAATCAAAATCCCAAC